AAAAAAAAAAAAAACGTTGCGGGCTTCAAACGAGCCCCGGGTGAGTCTTGCAACCCCCTGCCAATTAAAAGAACAATACCTCCACTATAAGAAAAAAATAATGTGGTAGAGATGCTCCAACCTTAAACGGGATTTACGCGGTGCGGCCGTGTTCCCTCCCCCCCGCCCCAACATATAACCCCCCATCCGAACCACTCTCAATTCAGGTCAAAGCGAATGCTCGCCCCCTCCAGAACCCCCATGGCGTAACCCGCGCCCCCCCTCCCTATAAACCCTTGGCAAGTGGCACGGAGAGTTTCTTCCTCCCGGCCATGCCCACGCTAATGACTTCTACAAAAGCGTCCTTTTGTCTGCACTCCTGCTGTTTGCAAGACTTCAACGCCCGCACCCGAACGTGGTCGATTTACAACACGTGTCAACGGGGGCCGGTAGAAAGGCGCCTCCTTGGCAACTTTGCTTGTTTCTCTCTGAAGTAACTCACACGGCAAGAGGAAGACAACAAAACATAAATACTAGTAAAACAAGCACCCATGGCGCCAACAGCCAGCATAATTTCGACGACATACAAAACCAACTAACCATGTGTGGGACCGTTGTTGCCTCCAGCCCTTTCCGGACTGTTACTACATGTATCACGCGAATAATCGAGGAGAGCAAGGCCAGCAGCGGACCTGTGGCAATCGCAAGCAGGCTGTTCAAATGCTGACGCTCTAATCTTTAGGCGAACCCCTCCCCCCCCTCGCACAGGCATGTAGCCACCGACACTCAAAATCACCAGCAAAAGCCTGAGCGTTGATGCAAAAAACAAGCTCACAAATAATCAAGTCCTCCGTCCCATCTCGGGTAAAGATCTGAGCCAGTTCTGTACCTTCGCCGCGAAGACTTCAACACACACCCTCCCCCTGAGAACCATATTATCATGGTGGGTTTGCGAATGCATACATTTTCTGCAAAAGGAACCCACCCCCCCAAACAGCGATCCACCCCATCTCATGACATGGCAGGGCACACCGTGCCATTCCACAAAAAAAACAAAAACAAAGCCATGCCATGCCACAAACCAAACAACCAAACAATAGAGGGCAAAGAACATCTTAACAAAAAAAGGTGGAAAACCAACAGCAAAAGACTTCAATCGCCCCCCACTCGGATCGCCTCTGACGAATACCAATATGATACCATCGAAGACACACACGATTGGGGAAACGACAGAAAGGCATTACTAAAAAATCGATCAACAACATGTTCCTGGAGAGTGAGAATAAACGCCAACGGATCTATCTCCTCCTCTAGACTACCGCAGCGGAAACAAAAGACCAAGAGCCAGAGGGGCCCTAACCCTTCACACACTCGCAGTCAGCCGCGCGTCCTCAAGACTGTGGGGGGGGGGGGGGGAATGCACACGCGCGGCTCAGCGACGACGACAGCACACAGCATAAAAACAGCAAAAACCTACCACACAAAAAAGAGCGAGCCCCACATCAGACGCGAAAGGATATGTAACACTTTCGGCAGCGCGGCTGACCGCCGGTGGAACCGTTGTTGTCTTCACATTAAAAACCATCCCGGTCTCTCTATCCAGTACCTCCTTTTGTCTCAATCTCTCCGTACTAATCCAGCACTTGACTCGGTCAATTTCCGTGGTCACAGGCTAACGTACCTAGACAAGGTATTACCAAAATAAAATGGACCCCAAGGGTTAGCAGAGCGATAAAATACAAGAAAACAAAAGAATCAGAAACAAATAAAACCGTATGGACAGCAAAAAAGTGACGGAAAAATATTTGGTTTCGGATGAAAATAAATAAAAAAAGAAGAACGCAACGATCATTTTTTACTGGTGGTAGTGTTGTCAAGCTCATCCACCGCGGCCGAGAAGAAGAGCCGCGCTCACTCACGAAACGCAACGAGTGCACTGGCGACGGCGGCGGTGGCGGCAGCAGCAGCTTCGCAGCAAACCATCCAAGCAGCGCTAACAACCCACCCAAGTCGACAGACACCACACCACGCACATTCGCCGCCCCGACCACAAAACAACGCACGTGTTTTTCCGAACCCACTTCTTT